GTTACATTAAAAAGAATGGGGCTAGTGAAAATAAACCAGAAGATGGAAAAAAAGACACCTGGCAAGTGAAAATCCAATGCATGATAATTTTGTTTATGCATAGTTTCAACATGCACACACACACTAGAATATTTAAGAGATTATTTGCTAAACATTTGTAAACTGCAGACATAAGAAAGAGCAATATTTTATTGTGGGAAAAAATATCTCATTTATCAAATTGCAGCTGTTGAAAATAGATAATGGATCATCTCTTGTCTTTTGTAACCACTGTTACAAAACAAATTATGATACAATTTTTCACTAGAAGTCTAAACTTACACAACAGATGTAACACATCCTCCCAAGGAAGCAGGATATACATTCACTCTGTTCTCTACATAAATGCTGGAGGCTATTCAATGAGGTAGAGATTTAAGGATTTTTTATAGAACAGAAAAAAGTTTCATCCAAATAAAGAAATAAATGGGGATTTTACAGCCGTTTTGTCATAAAAGTATGCAAAAAGTGCTCAATTTTTAAAAACCGAATGGTAGCAATAGGTTTAATCAGTTTTGGAATAAAAATGTATGAAGTTTGCATATTACTCTTTACTATGGTATGTTTTTACTCAAAATATAAAAGGGGCTGTATGTATGAGGTGTGTTCTATACAACAGGTAGGGATTTTAAGTTTGTCTTCTGAGGATTACAAATAAATGTGGTTCAGTAAAAAAGCTGGTAAAATCAGAACTTATTAATTTATATCTCAAGCCTTGTCTTTATCAATATGTGTAGTTCATTTTCCTTTCTAGAAATAAAGTAGTTTCAGAAAGCATGTTTCAAGTGCATGTATTTTCATTTTTTAGTGTTCAATGAGTTAAAATGCTATAGTTTCAGTACTTCAGAGTACTATGGTTTAACCCACCATGCCAAAAGCTGTGAGTGTCCTGGATCATAGGTTATATTTCAGCAATCAAACTGCTTTTAACTAAGGACTTGATTTGTAAATTTTTCCAGTTATTCTTTCAGATGTTCAACTATTGGGTTGATGAGCTTGCCATTCAGCAATCTAATTTTCAGAGATGCAACACAAGAGATAGAATTGTTAAAGTTGCGATTTACTTCAAACACAGAGCCACCTGATCACAGGTTAACATTTACTATGAACTTAAGTCTGAGAACAAGTAATTACTATCTATCATATACCTGTGATTCAGTAACATGAAGCTTATGTCAGTGATACATAAATATATTGTTAGTTTTCCCACACAAGTTGGTTAAATAACAGACATCAGGCTTACATCAATGATCTGTGTTTTATATTTGGTGTGATTAAATGATTCTATGCTTGGAATGATCAAATGTTTCTCTATTTAGAGTGATCAAGTGGGTATTTGTTTGGAGTGATCAAGTGATTCTGTGTTTGGCTCTTTTCTCTGGTTGTAAACATTCACATTTTTTATGCACAAAATCTTACAAAACAGTAGTGAAACAATATCTGTAAAAGAAAGTGTGGTATTCTAAATTAGGCATAGCTCATACAGCTTACTCTTGCCCTCAAAAGCACTTACCTCTTTATTAGAGCTGCATGGTGAAGGGAATTTGACATCCAAAACTATTTTTAGGTTAGTTAAAATAGTGCTGTTAACATCCCTGCAAAAATAAAACATATCCCAAAGCTGATCTTTATGGTTCAAACTATACAAACTCTTTTTTTTCCTGTTAGCTAATACTTTATTTTGTTTTTTATAATTACACTGAACATTATTCAAATACTCTCAGTCTTACAGAACTAAATGATACATTTGTTTTGAATCACTGTACTAAGCCACATAAGTCAACAACACTTGCCACCAACTCTTGTACAATTCTAGTACATTTCAATAATCTACTATAAAACTATTCAGATGGTTTTTCTTTTCAGTGTATGCATTGCATTTCAGTCAAAAATCTTTTAAAATAATTTCATTATATAACTTTATAATATTTAGTTTAAAAAAGCTCCAATTTATTCAGCTAGTGTCTTATTTTCAAACAGATATGGTTTAATTTAATAAAACTTATAACCTACTCACCACTTCTCCAAGTTCTGGTTGAAATTATCTCTAAAAGGACCAATAACTGGAGAAGCAGAAAAAAAAATATGATGAAGGTTCCATCTTACACAACTGTCTACTACAGTAGAAACAGATAACATATTCTCATAATGGAAACTGACATAATTATTTGTTGCTAAACAACTGTGCAGAAAAATATTTTGCAATCATTGTGACCAGTGCAAGCTTTAACCATAAGTAAGACAAATAGCTAGAGAGCACCTGACACTGGTCAGTTAAAAATAACACATTTAAAATGGAGGGGGGGGGGGATAGATACAACTCTCAAGTAGCAGACAACCTGTTGAAGGACTGGGTGATCTGATTACTCTTGATGCTTGCTTGCTAAGTGACAGACCTGCTTTTCAAAACTCACAAAAAATTATGCTATTAAACTTATGTTTTGAAACTTTCCTGACTTTGTTACATAAAAACTGTATAGAAAGACAAACCAACTACATTTGTAAGTTTTGATATTAATATAATAAAAAAAGTGTCATCGTACCTCTTTCTGCTCCAAGGAACTGACACTCAGGAATGCTTCTGTGACATTGTGGGTTAACAGAGATCTGTACAGATCCATTTGTGGCTGCAAGAAATGAACAGCTTTAGTTACTGGTCAATATAATTAACAAGTGTTATTACACCAAGGAACTGATGCTCAGGAATGCTTGTACGACATTGTGGGTTAACAGATAATAGATCTGTACAGATCCACTGGTAGCTGTAAGAAATAAACAACATCAATCATTAATTTACTTTAATATTAGTTATAAATGTTCCTGTGGCTTTACAAACTTTAGGCTACCGAGATCAGATCACAGATATCTCTTTCAATTTTAAATAATACCATATGAACAAAATGATTAAATTGTGATAATGTATCCTTAAAATAAAAATATTTTATACTTGCTTGATATCAGTTATATACATGTAATGGATAATTATGATTCACAAACAAAAAGCAACAAGAACTAAATGATGAAGTTATTAAGGGTAAAATCTTTAACATAGAAAATACCGAAAAAAAAATTACTAAATTTTCCAATACACTAGTACTTTGTTAGTTGTAAGCTTTATACAGAGCAGTGCACCTTGTTTTTATGCTACCATAAGTTTATTAATGTACAATTGTTCCAGTTGCCCTGTATTACTACCTGCAATAGAGTTGCCTTTAGATCTCAGCTTTTAAACAAGTCCATAAGGCCTAAAGAATATTTACATTGGGACTTTGTACAAGATAGGTATTAATCCTTCCACAGCTTTTTTACCATTCAGGTATAGTTTCAACACATCTGCTGTATGCTTTGAATCAATATCTTGTTCGAAGATCAATTCTGGCCTGATGAGTCATGTTCCTGAGGGAATGGCATGATCAGACTCTGTATGTACTTGTCCGCAGACAAAGTTAATCAGTTTTATGTAGATCACTGACAACATTGGCCGAACTGCGGTCCCAAACTGGTAATGATATTTAGGAAAAAAGGACCCAAATAAGAATAAAAAAACTGTTTGAATTATATTTAAATGTATTTTAAAAAGTGTCAATAATATTAACAGGTGACTGAGTGTCTTACATTGTTGTATGTAGAACAACGTCATGTTCCTAAAGTTTGAAAAATAGCTAGTGCTCTGGGGTCTACAAATAAAAAGAAAATAATACTGATACTAATAAATAAACTGATTACTTAATTAATTAAAGGTGAGGAATATATGTGTGTGTGTGTGTGTGTGTGAGAAAAAAGATACACAAGAGCTTGTACATAAGCATCTTCACTTGGTTGCACCCATGTACAAACACATACACCAACAAAGGAAGAGTTATAGAAGATAAAATCTTTTATTTATTCCATTCAAGTGGATGGTAACAAGCCAATAGATGAGTTCGTTTTCATCTTTTTGTCTCTTCTTCTTGACTGTTGATGAATGATGGAGAGTCAGTTTTCTGAAATCGTTCATTATCATTAAAATGTTTAGCCATAGGTTTGTCTGGATCTTAATTCTGGATGTTATAGGTATGTTCACATGCTTGTTCAGACTACATCTGACCTCTTCCTTTTAAGTACAGATCTCCTCAATATAAACAAGAAATACAACAAATTAAGCACTTCAATGTAAAGGTGAACAACTGTTTGATTGTGTACGTGGAGTTGAGTCCAAATACCATAGTACTGGTGTTGATGTAACAGCAGGTGTTGCACTGCGAACACATACAGCAATGTGTACCACATTGAAGTTTGGTGATTTCTTCTTGTGTCTTCAACTATGCATGAACTAATATATATCTTTTAGATTTTTTTCCATGTCCATATAAAATGACAGGTTTATCCCAACATTTTTATCATTTTGAAGTATCTTAGAAACCTGGATGTTTTGTGGATGTTACATCAATATCAAAGGAACTTGATTTTATTTATCATTCTTTTTTTTCTTCACCTTTAGTGCATTTTTATGACTGATCTTAACAGCAATTTTGTGAGCTGAATGGATTATGTTTGGAAGATAATGCTTAACATAAAAAAATCCTGACGTTTCATCAGCTTTCCAATGAAAATCAGATTCAGAATTGCATAAACAATGTATGTGGTGAAACTGTGATTTCCATAAGGCATTTTTAGTGGATGTATGATGATTGGAGTTGAAATAAAGGAAAGAGTGGGAGTCAGTAGGTTTATAATAGATGGGTGTTGAAATAGTATTCTCTGTAGTTAAGGTTATTGATGTCGAGGAAGTTTACTGAATGGTTTGAAAGGTTACTTATGTACTGAAGGGCTGAGTGATAGTTCTTAATGAAATTAATAAAATTATGTAGCTTGGAAGTTGAAATTCCAATTAAGTCATCAATGTAAAGTCAATATAAAACAGGCATGGGTCCATCATAAGTTTGAAAGATATGCTCTTTGTAGCCTACAAACAGGTTGGCAAATGATGGTTCCATCTTGGTAACCATGGCTACATCCTTTATTTGTTTGTAATATGAATCACTGAAAGAAAAGGTGTTCAATGTCAAGACTAATTCAGCTAATCTTACTAGAATGTCTGTTGCTGCCTCTAGCTCTTGTAACTAGTTCAGGTAGAACCTGAAAGCTTCAAGACTCTCACCATGCAGTATGACAGTATATAAGGACTTGAAGTTCACTATGAGTAGAAATGGATTAAGTTTAGTTAGGGATATTTCATTAAACACCTGAAGAGCTTCAATACTATTTTTGATATAGGTTGGAAGAGTCTGAATCAAAGGTGTCATCATGATTTCGTCCAAAAAACTAGAGATTAACTCTGTAAGACAATTACATGTTGAAACTATACATCTCCTAGGCTTGTATATCTTGGGTAGGATGTAAAACAAAGATGTTATTGGTTCTTCTACAATTAAGTTTCATGAATCTAGTGAAATTTCTTCTGTATCTATTAGTGTTTATGATATTTTGCAAGAGGATTGGTTTGTTGTTTAATATAGTATTCACCATTAAAGAGTTGTTCCGCCTCCACTATATACAAGTCCTTACACCATATGACTAGAGTATCACCTTTGTCTGAGGGTTTGATGACAATGTCATGTCTATATTGTTTTTCAAGGGTTTTTTATCATCTACAGGCAGGATGCATTGAAACATGCCTTTATTAGAGAAATCTAGTTTGTTGATTTCCTCTTGATACTTGTCAATAAAATATTCTAAAGCTAGAAATTTTCTTGGCTAGGTGTCCTGGTGTTATTGTGTTTTTTGAATAGAATGAAAGGATTTTCATTAGAGGAAGTAAGGGTATTATTGTTGTCATTGGATGGATTTTAGTTTGTAATTTGGTTATTGTAAACAAAGCTATTATTGCTGAAATGGTCTCGTACATGTAAATGACAAAAAAATTGTGCAACATCTTTTTTTGGTGTTGAAGTCATCCACCTGACTACGTTATTTAAGCAATTCTGAATGTGATTTTAATCACAAAGCTGATGAACTTTCAGGATTTTTTAAGGTTAAGAGTTATCCTCCAGACAAAATCAACTCAGATCATAAAAATGCTGATAAAATCAGTCACAAGAATGCACTAAAACTGAAGAGAAATAACAAAAATGATTGTAAACAATTGTCCTTTTGATACTGACATATCATTCACAAAACATTCAGGTTTCTAAAATAATCGAAAACAATTTTGGGATACATCAAAATGTTTAAGGATAAATTGTTTGTTTGTTTGTTATGGATTTTGTGCAAAGCTACACGAGGGCTATCTGTGCTAGCTGTCCCTAATTTAGCAGTGTTATGCTAGAGGGAAGACAGCTAGTCATCACCACCCACCACCAACTCTTGGGCTACTCTTTTACCAACAAATAGTGGGATTGACCATCACATTATAATGCCCCCACGGCTGAAAGGGCAAGCATGTTTGGTGTGACGGGGATTCGAACCTGCAAATTACGAGTCGAGCTCCCTAACCATCTGGCCATGCCGGACCGTTAAGGATAAATCTATCATTTCATTCAAGGTGTAACAAATGCCATTACATCAGTGAAAGTACTTCTGTATTTGGACCTAACTCCATGGACACAATGAAACAGTTGTACCTGTACATCAAAGTGCTTAATTTATTGCATTACTTGTTTATACTGTAGACAACTGCACATAGGAGAAACAGGTCAAATGTTGTCTATGCAAGAACACAAACACACCGGCAACACCCAGAATTATGATACAGATAAATCTGTGGCTAAACATTTCAATGATAATGAACAACTACAGAATACTGGCCCTCTTGTCATTAATCAACAGTCAAGAGGAATTAATTAATGAATTTATTTTCATTACTCTTATTATTATTCTATTTTTAGACTACAGACTAGCTACAACAATACAAAACACTCAATTACCTGTTAATATTATTGACATTTTTTCACGTACATTAAAATATAATTCAAACATATTTTTGATTCTTATTTGGAATCTTATTTTATTTATAATGATATATATATATATATATATATATATATATATATATATATAATAAAATGGTACATACGTACACTAACATTATCCCATTGCAAAAAACATTGATTTGCCTGTGATTCATGTGTATGCTACTTTAGATCTGTTGCAAGATGCTAATTTCCAATGTGCTATGTTTAATAATCCTCGTGTGATATCAAACATTCTGTTCCATTAAAGTTTAAACTTGCCAGAGGAAGTTTGTCCCAGCCCGAAACACTGTAAATATTAAAACATCTATTTGACATCAGCTGATTTCATGGTGTAAGTTTCCACTTTTTTGTTTTCCTTTAGAATATGACTAGACCTAACTTGCTAGGCTTGATTTAAGTTTTCTATATTTTTTCTTCTTCATTCTCAAAGGCTTTGAATTTTGTTCAAGAAAAATAGTTCAATTATCGCTAACAAGATAATTAACAGTATTTTAAGCTTTCAGACAGAACTTGCAAATTATTATCCTGTAAAAAGTCCATAATTGCTTATGAGTCTACACTGGCCCACTTATCATCTGTAAATAATTCACTGACAACTTGACAAGCATCATTAACTGGAGGGTATAAAGTACAAGTTAACAAAGAACAAAATTTGATTTTTTTTTAGGTAAGTC